GATTGTTTGCCAAATCGGTTGTTACCGTTTTAATAATCTCCATTAACATCAGCGTACGCATACTATTTGTTACATATTTACTTCCCCCTAAGTCCTCAGTCGCATCAGCAAACGTCGATAGTACCTCCGTTAAGTCGGCAATGAGATCCCATTCATCATCAGTAATCATTATTTGTTTTAATCGTTTGGCATCTTTTTTTGAATCCAAGTCCATATTACATGACAGAACATTGAATAAAATTTTTATCCATCCTTTTAAATACAGCAAACGGACCCAAGCGAAGTAGCTGGAATTCCAGCGTGTAGATACGTCATTAATCAATTAGAGATATTTGGCTGTATCTTTTACATCCTGGTATTGTATTATATTGATAAGGGTAATATTTTATATAGAAGTATTAGGAAACATAGAATAAAAATATTATGAAAAAAGTATATCTATGATTGTTTCCTTTTCAGCTTTGTATAACAGTTCATCATTTTCTAAATTTGCATTTGGATATTTTTTTTGTATATCCTCCAAACGTTCAGATTGCTTAGGGCGCATAAAAAACTCGATTAACCTTTTTACTCGCATAATTAATGCTTTAACTGGAACTAATGCTTTTCCAACTATAAGTTGAAGAGTGTGGGCACTGCATCCTTGTCATCTAATATTACTCATACTTGCGATCACTTTTTTCATATTAGCAGCATTGTCCGTGGTAATTGTAAAAACTTTATCACGTAAATTCCATTCATTGAATACTTCTTCCAGACTTTCTGCAACATGTTGAGCGGTATGTGAGTATCTAACGTAATTGACTGTTAAGGTAATTTCATTAAGATTGAATTTAGTATCGATGTAAAAACAAGTTACACCAATGTATCCTTGTCCGTTACGTGCGGTCCACATATTCGTAGTTATTGACACACTTTTCGCGTCAACCTTAATTTTTTCGATCAATGCAAGCATTGTAAATTTATAAGCCTTATAAATGACTTTTTTAATGCCTTTTTCATCTGGCATTATGAAAGCCGGATCCAATTCACTAATCAATTGCCAGAATGAAGGACTTTAAACTACGTATAATGGCTGGAGATCTTCAATGATCCAATCGGTTAAAAATTGACGAAGTTCACATTGGCGACTTTCTTTGTGTTTATGAGCTTGAATAACAGCAGGAAGAGTCGTTTGATTTTGTATAAAAAGTGATATATTACTAAAGTTTTTACAAAGAACAATGAAAAATTAAAATTTATGAAAGAGACGCACCTTATTTATTTTACCTTCCTTTAATATTTCATGTTCATTTAACAAATGGTTTATAGCATTTCCTGTTGAACCATCATTAATATAAAGAGTTCTGCACTTATTTCCTTTAGCATCAGTAAGTTTACACATTTTAAGTACTTCTCCTTTATCACTTGCTTGCTCTTTAATGTCTACTTCTTCAAAATAATCCCATGTTCAGCTTCTCTTTTTTCTGCTGCTTTTTGCTTTCGTTTTCAGGTGACCACCAGGGCTAGGTTGGTCTTGTTCTATGTCAATAATATCAATAATATGTTCTTGTTTTATATCAATCTCAGTCATAATGATATAATCGTATAACGTAAAACAAAAATGACAAAAATAATAAATCGTGTAACATAAAACAAAAATGATAGAAAGAATAAACCGCGTAGAAAGAATAAATCATGTTACTTGAATATTTGCGTAATGTAAACGAGAAATAGGTATGATCTTGTCGCTAAATTACTATAAATCGGCATTTGGCATTTTGGCAGATCAATACTTTATCGGATCTAACCGGTTGAATCCAATTAACTATTTTGAAATCTGGATTGCAATCCGATGTTCAAATTTCAAACCGGATATCTGATAATCTGGATTGATAACGGATATCCGTTATTAACGGTTTATGGGTCTGAACACTACCACCAGTTTGTTTATACGCTTTACTTTTTATTTTAAATTATTTATTAATAAATTTACCTATAAAACTTAATAATAATAATTTTTAAATAATATACTTACAAACAGTAATTACATTGTGCCTTTTCCTCAACTATTGTAAAGTGTGCCCATACTGAACTATAAGTTCTTGATGAACTCTCACTCATTTTGGAGTTCGGGCTTATGGTTAAAATAAAAAAAAAGTATTGATCATCGATTCCAAACCAGGTCAGTCGAGTTTAATAGGGGCTCAGATTTGGCTCGACTCGATATCACGAGTATAAAAATTATTTGACTTGACTTGACTCGACTCGAAATTAGACCCGGTTTGGCTCGACTCGTTCAGAGCACTAAGCAGGATGCATACTCACAATAGAGCTGTCTAAATTATTACAAGTCAACATACCGAACAACTTTAATTTCAATATATTAAAAGATATAAAAGATCAACTATTCAATTTTGACGCAATAAACGTGGAAGATTGGCATTTGGATATACTTGATACAACAATTTTAGATTTCTTATTACAACCTAACTGCAATCACAATAACACACGGTTGGACCATGATTTGTCAGAAAGAAATCGACTAAAGGTATTTGACAATTTTATTAAAAGATCCAACCATTATATTTTATTGAATTCCATAAAACAATTTTTAGGAGGCCAAGGTCAAGCTATCTTACGTCCTAATCAAATTAAAATGACATTAGGAATATCCGCCGCTGGACCACTACTAGTGTTCTGAACGGGTCGGGTCAATTCGGGTGACCCATCGGGTTTACCCGAAAATTTCGGGTCGGGTCATCAAATTTATGATCCGACTTCGGGTTGGGTCACAGTTTGACCTGACCCGTTGACCCGTTTGATCCGACATAATATTTCTGGTTAGATGTGTCAAATATGTAAAAAAAACGCCGAAATGTTTTTTTTTTTGTATTATTATTAAGAAAAAACGTTTTGGCGTTTTTTTATATAAAATTATTAAAAAAAAACGCCAAAACATTTTTTTTATATTAATTATTATAGAAAAAATGTTTCGGCGTTTTTTCATATAAAATTATTAGAAAAAAACGCCAAAACGTTTTTTTTGCATGATTATTAAGAAAAAATGTTTCGGCGTTTTTTCATATAAAATCATTAGAAAAAAAACGCTGAAACGTTTTTTTTGTATTAATTATTATAGAAAAAACGTTTCGGCATTTTTCATATAAAATTATTAAAAAAAAACGCCGAAACGTTTTTTTTGCATTATTATTAAGAAAAAACGTTTCGGCGTTTTTTCATGTAAATTATATTTAAAAAAATGCCGAAAACGTTTTTTTTTGTATTAGTTGTTAAGAAAAAACGTTTCGGCGTTTTTTCATATAAAATTATTAAAAAAAAACGCCAAAACGTTTTTTTTGCATTATTATTAAGAAAAAACGTTTCAGCGTTTTTTCATGTAAATTATATTAAAAAAACGCCAAAAACGTTTTTTTTTTGTATTAATTATTAAGAAAAAATGTTTCGGCGTTTTTTCATATAATAAATATTAAAAAAACGCCGAAAAGTTACTTTTTTAACAGAAAAACGTCAAGTTTGGCGTTTTTTGTTTTTTTTTTAACTAAAAAACGTCGGGTTGACATTTTCAATTAAAAAACAGGGGTTTTTTTAATTTTTTAATCATTTTTGATATATGGGTCAAACGGGTCAAATGGGTTGGGTCGGGTAAGACGGGTTACCTGACCTGACCCGACCCGATTTTTTTTGTCGGGTCGGGTAAGACGGATTACCCGACCCGACCCGACCCGTTCGGAACACTAACCACTACCATATTTTGCTAAATATATTATCGAACAGCTATCGAACGCATTAAACTTAAATATACAACATCAAGACCAAACATCAAGAATCACTGTAGACCTTACTCCATCACCTAGATATAAACCTATCATCCCGCAATATCCATCTCTCGATAGACGAAGGAAAGAATGAGTCATAGTAAATACAAACTGATTCTCCAAAGTGGGAAAAATTGTGGAAAAGAATTCGATAACGACTTTCCTGTACCAACATTAGATCATCCGTGAAGGTTCAGACTTACTCATAAAATGCACAGGATGTAGTACTTCATCCATGAATGGACAAACGTCGACAGGAACATGCATTAGACAAGGTCACTTTAGCAAAGCTACGGTAATTAAAGTAGAAGTACTTACTAAGAAGATCGAAGAAGCCTCTTTTAGGATTATCACACCAACCAACCTGATCAAAAGACGCACAATCACTTCAACAGCGGCCTTCCACAATGAACAAAAGTTAATCACAGTAGATATTCCTTTGATAGATCATAACATAATCTCACGTTTTATCACTTCACCGTTACTTGTTCATGAATTGTGCGATATCAATAGCACGTTGCAGAGAGAAAATAATAATATCTTTCAAATTTACACCGATGATTTGCTGAATCTTAATTGTAGAAATTCTGGAAGAGAAGTAGTCATGGATGCCAGATGGATTATTAAAGATCACAATTTATCATTTTCTTGTGGGGTTAACTATCACCCATCTTCTACGCGACCAGAGCTTTTGGCTATTATGACTGCCTTGCTGGCAGTTCCAAACAATGCTGAAGTGGAGATATACACAGATAGTTAAGCAGCTATTGAAGGAATTAATCGTATGCTTGATGCTTCGTATAGGATCAATCGAAGGAAATTTTTAAAAATGAATAATTATATTATCCTTTTCACCATTTATGATCTCATTAAAACAAAATCACTAACTTTCAACTTACATAAAGTCCGCGGACATTCTGGCAACAGATGGAACGACATGGCAGACAAAATTGTGAAACAAGGGAAGGATGCAGCAAGCTGCAATAATGATAGAATTATAGATATTAGACTTCTCTGTAGCTTTAGCTTCCCTTTAACCTTTCTCCCAGTTTGGTATAATATTAGCATAGATAGGCATATTAGATCATTTACTAGATTAGTGGCTGATTCATTAGAAGAAGTACAATGGTCTTTTAATAAATACTGGAGTTCTTACTTTGAAGAAACATTCACAACTTCACGATGGCATTAGGGTTATTTTGGCAATACGTTAATAGCTTTAACAAAGGACATTGCTTATCATTCTCCACTAATGATAAATTCATACATTTTATAAAATGTTCAAATAATTTATTACCTACCATAGACAATCTTAGGAAACGGAACGAATTGTATAATCAAGTCAAATGTCCAATGTGCTTACATGATGATGAAGATATCTGGCATATTGTTATATGTCCAGGTCATGAAGATGGTTTTCAGCAGGTTGAGTTAGAAGTAACATCCAAGATTATGAAATTTATTAAGAAATCCACATCCTCAACAAAGATAGTACAGGAACAGTTAGAACGTATTATCTTTGAATATAAGGACGAAGCTTTCCCTCTTATTAAAGAACGTAACTGTATTGAACTTACTAGAGGGCTTATCTCAGATACAATTATAACAAAACTTCGACGCTTCTTGTCTAAAAAAGTAACCAATGAGGTTGTCAGTAGAATTATAAAACATTTCCACAAGGCTTTCAGGAAGTACATATGGAATCCACGATGCTATGAATTGAATATACTTGAAGCTAAATTGGACATCACTAAAAAAGACAAGATGAATACTGTTAGAAGCCATTCGTGTTCTATATCTCAACAACTTGACATACAACAGACACAAGGAACACTGGATAAAAATGAACTTTTGCGTAAAACTTTGACACGTTGCAAGAACTATATCCACTCACTTATAACAAAAGGCTCTTCACAATCATGGAAAACATAGTCGCAGTATAGTAGGTCCCATGATCACCCTTGCACTGACTACAGGGCCCTTGGCTAAGAAAACATATTCCACATATGTTTACCTGTATAGCATAATAGATCATTCGACAGTGCACGCGTGAGGTATTTTAATAATATGACGAGCGGTTTATAAATTAATAATATTAGTTTAATTAGGTAGTTTAGTAATTTTATTATATATTACTTTAATTATTTTAATAAATTTATAAATGTGCTGCGATAAAAAAAAAAAAAATTAAATATTAACTTACCGTGTTCTCCGTTTATTAGCCATCTAACCAATTATAGAGAAAATACGATCACATTCTGCATTATGTGGAGTAATTGATAAAATCTTTATAGCAAGTTGTTGAATATAATGTTCTTCAGAACGTACTGGATTGCATAATCGCCATCATAAAAAAACATTATCTATTCCTAATACATATTCTAAATCATAAGGTTTTTCATATTGTGTAAATGCACGAATTTGAGCAACTAATTCGCTACAAGAATTTTCACCACCACCCATATTTTTTAGCAATTTCATTGCATTAAGACAAACATCATGAAAGACCATTGGATGTAAACCTTTACCTAAAGTATAAATATAATAATTTAATTAAGATTAGTGTAAAAATAAATAATTCAAAAAAAAATTCACAATTTACCTCAGTAGTATGGATGAAGCATATAACTTAAAATATAAAGATCAAAATCGAATTGTTTCCATCTTTTATTAAATAATTCAATACAGGTAGATTTAAAATTTTGATCTGATATTGGTGGAAGGAAATTAATCCTTTGTGATAACTTGATTAATTCAACAAAACAATCAGCAAGCGTAGTTGATTTGAATTCAAGAGCCTTTACTGCTGATTTGACTGGGTCTAATAAAGTATTAA